CAATGTGCAAATTTATCGAAAGTTATGCGTAGAATCCAAATAAATTATGGTTTTACTAAAAATGTGCAATTTCATCAATTTGAAAAATTAACAAAAAAAAAACAGATTTTTTTTTAAATAAGTTAATACTACTTTTCAAAATTTTTTAGAACATTTGCCTTGTTAATTTGTTTTAAAGATCGGGAGGGGGGGGGGGGGGTGGTTGACATAATCAACGTATAACGTTTTTTTTAAATAATAATTTACTAACCTTTTTTTCTTTCAGTGTATTTTTTTCTCAAAGATATTTTAACTACCTACAACTTCTTCGCAAACGTCATTTTGATCAGATCAATATTTTTCATTTTTTGAAAAATATTATCTATTTTTTAACACACCCTCTTCAAAAGTAACTATGAAGAAAAAATCATATTTAAATGAAAAATGCAACCATTGGTAGCAACGAACATATGAGCAATGAAGAGCTATGAGTGGGTTGGTTTATTTTCTGTAAATTCCGTTATAATTGCTTATCTTTTGACAGAAACGCGTATTTCGTCTACTACTACCACTGTGGTGTTGAGTACTTGGCACTGATGAAGTCTGTAAGTAGTAGACGAAATACGCGTATCTGTCAAAAGATAAGCAATTATAACGGAATTTAAGGAAATAAACCAACCCACTCAAAGCTCTTCATAAAGGGATTCCGTTAAGAGGTTCGACAAATTTAAAGGATTGATATGAGCAATGTTTCATTCAAATCGGAAACACTCATGTCCAACCGGTTTGCGTTTTGGGCTTTAAATGCTCCATAGACGGAAACACGACACGTTGTTAAGAATACCGCACAACAATCCCGCAAAATGGTGTTTGCCTCGAATCTGGCTGGTACAAGACACAGAGGGGCGCAGCGAGCTAGGTGGTCGGACCAATGGAGTAAGATCTAGAAAGTCGCAACGACCCGAGTTAGTTGGCGCATCATTCAGGCCTATCCTGCGAGTCGTGTGACTCTATGTCTCAATTTGATTTACATGGAGATTCATCTCACTAGTGGCAGAGAGCCACACGATTTGCAGAATATCCTAATTGTAAAGCAGGTCAAATTTTGAAGGACCTTGGATCAGCAAAAGTAAAGTAAGTAAATTTTATCGAACGCTTAGCTGTTGAATTCACGTAACATAAGCTAAGTGTGTTGTTACCATAGGATAATCTCTCGAGGACGGGTTCAATGTAGAAGTTAAAGGTCACAAGAATTCCTTCTTTGCAGAAAAACAATATAATTAAAAAAAAACCTATAAATGCGCACCAAAGGGAACCAAAAAGGTAACAAAAGGAATAACGGCAATGCGAAATAAAACACTAATGTATTTTTTTTGACGGCAAATTTCCGACAGTCGACATTTTGTATTGTGTTTAGTTTCTTTTGCTTAAGTGCAAATGATTTTACTCAATTCGCCTAGGTTTCCTGATACAACTAATTACATACAAGCATGTTGTGTTTTGTTCTGGTCTTCAGTGTCTTCCTAACAACTAAATGCTACTTCTGTTTCACTTTCTTAATTCTCAAGCGATAAACGTAAATTAACAAGATTAGAACATATGCTAAGAAATAGTAGAGGTTTCAGTTCTGATTATTACGTTATTACTTTTTTCAGATGATAAGTATCCAAATTAGAGTGGTTAAAAAATAATCTATTTTCAGCGGGTGATAGGTGTCTTCTGATAAAAAAAAACAAACCCAGAAAGTTGGTCGCTGCACGGACGGACTCTATTGATATGAAGTTTGTATGGAACATCTTTTTGATGTGTATAAAAATTTTGCAATTTGGTAGGCGAATATGCGAGTGAGTTCAAGAAATTATTTTTTTGAGGAGCTGTCCCATTTGACATAAGGTCGCGTATGATATAAAGTCGCATAAGTATAATTTAAACAAAGATCACGTGCCATCAATGCTTTAGTTAATCATAATTATGACCAGAAGAATATAATGTACCAAGCATCCACAAACAATGCAATTGTTTGAGCAGCATTGTCAAAGAAACCATTTCCATAGATGTCCTTTTTAGGCCGTTTGATCAAATTATTCTCATGCAGAGTCACTTCCTCTAATACGCATGCTATTTTTGTTTTGCTAAAAGAATGAAAGTTGATGTAATCATCAGTTTTTTAAAGCTCATTGTTTTTTATTCTATATTGAAAGAAAATTTAATTTAGTTAAATATTGCTTGTCAAATCAATAGCGTCAGTTCGTGATGCAACTAAATAAAATAAAACTTTTAGAGTGTGCTTCTTATAATAAAAAAGAACAAATCTAGGGGATCTTGTACAAAAAATCCTTTATATTGTCCACAGAAAGTTTGACCACCACACGTGATTTTTTTGATGATTAAAAAAATACCACGACGGAACTGTGAACAGTTTTCCTATTTTTTTTGAGAGAGAGTGTTCTACCTACCTACACTCTATGAATTTCAATGATTCCTAATCGTTCAATCTCATAAATTGCTAGTTATACTTGCAATTTTTTCATGTTTTTACTGTTTAGCTTCCTATAATAAAATCTAGTAAACGTGTCCACTGTTTTTATAAATTTTGTTTTGTTCTATGTACTGCAATTTTGTTTCTTCGAATGTTGTTTTCGCTAAACGTTTATGATTTTTTTTTTGATTTCTTTAAATCGATCATTGCACTCTGACTCAGTCGCCCTGCAAATAATATTTTACCAGCCTTTCGTGTTTTTGGATCATGATGTCGGTTGAAACGAAGTATACAAAGTCTGTCTTATGCAAATGATATATATATGTGAGTATGTGTGTGTGTGTGTGTGTGTGTGTGTGTGTGTGTGTGTGTGTGTGTGTGTGTGTGTGTGTGTGTGTGTGTGTGTGTGTGTGTGTGTGTGTGTGTGTGTGTGTGTGTGTGTGTGTGTGTGTGTGTGTGTGTGTGTGTGTGTGTGTGTGTGTGTGTGTGTGTGTGTGTGTGTGTGTGTGTGTGTGTGTGTGTGTGTGTGTGTGTGTGTGTGTGTGTTTGTTGTTGTTGTTGATGTTGTTGTTGTTGATGTTGTTGTTGTTTATCAATCACCACCGCAGTTTCATCGCCAAAAACCTTGATGTTTTTTGATACCACACTCTTTCTATGGATAGGATATGGAATACTAGAAACTTCTTTTTATTCAGTCCTTAATTGTAGGTACAACTTTCAAGCAAAAAGGGGAACTGCTATTTTTTATTAGTACTTATCTGTAGGTATCATTGCCTGCAGCTTTTTTTCATTTAATTCTCACCAGAATACCGTACCGATACCATACTTTGCACAGCTCCTAATAATTGCGCGCGGCACTCATATATTTTCGGTCGAATCACGATTTTAACAGGATATTTTCAAAACGTTCGATAACCTCTCTTCCTAACAACACGGCAAGTATTACAATTTGAAAAATATTCGATAATTATTGACAGTTATGAGCCGCGCAAAGTATGGTGCCGGAACGGAACACAATTTATCCATAAATAACTTGGTAACAAATTAGGGAAGCTTTATAATGACACTCCGAGAAGTTAAAAAATATCAGTTTCGCCTTTTTTGTACTTGATTTCCAATGTCAATCAGTAAAATTCTCCTTGGGGTTATCTGTAATCTACAATTAGGGAAACAATGACATTGTTTAATAAAGAATCGCTTCTACCATTTCACATCTAATAGAAAATACATGTCTTCTATACCTGACTTGTATAACGTTCACTAGGCATGACTCTTAAACAATAAAAATTACACTCAAAAGAACAACAGTGCTTTCGATTTTTACCTTGAAGTTTCAGGAAGCTTTACTGTTACAAACTAAAACCTAAATCTGCAAATATCAATGATTATAAGTTAACATTAAAGGAAACATAACTTTTATTTATAGCTTAATTTCTTCATTCAGTTTATGTTTATTTCTTTTTGATATGGGTTCACTGCTACTATACCTGATTTGTTTTGTCTTTATTCGAATGAGAAAATAACACATATGCATAAATTATGAAACGCTAAAACTAACGCTGACGAAAAACAGAAATAATCAATCCTCTGTCATTAAAACTGCTGCCAAGTTCAAAATGTACTACTGTTCCTGTTTTCTGAATTTTGTGGATGTATCGTATCACAAAGCAAATGTTATGTAAGTTAAAACAACATGTTCAACAAGTATATTATTCATGTAAACAAATATCAACTTTTAGGTTACTGTTAACTATTGATCGGCGTGTGTGTGTGTGTGTGTATGTGTGTGTGTGTGTGTGTGTGTGTGTGTGTGTGTGTGTGTGTGTGTGTGTGTGTGTGTGTGTGTGTGTGTGTGTGTGTGTGTGTGTGTGTGTGTGTGTGTGTGTGTGTGTGTGTGTGTGTGTGTGTGTGTGTGTGTGTGTGTGTGTGTGTGTGTGTGTGTGTGTGTGTGTGTGTGTGTGTGTGTGTGTGTGTGTGTGTGTGTGTGTGTGTGTGTGTGTGTGTGTGTGTGTGTGTGTGTGTGTGTGTGTGTGTGTGTGTGTGTGTGTGTGTGTGTGTGTGTGTGTGTGTGTGTGTGTGTGTGTGTGTGTGTCCGCGTACGTTCATGGTGGATGGGCATGTTTGTTTATACATTGAAGAGCAATTTTAGGTTGTGTTTTAAGTCTAATAATCAGAAAATAGTGTAGTAACGTTAAACTAAAATATGAATATGAATGATTATCATTTAGTTCGTCTCCACTATTAACTAATAACGTTTAATAATACAGCAATATCATATTCGTATTAAAATTTAATGAATTATTTTCTTTGCAGATAGGTTTTCTAAGTCGTTCTTTAACCTTAAAAATAAAGAATGCAAAATTATTGAGGAAAAACTTAAAAAACAAATCCTGAGAGCCAGACATTTTAGCTTGTTTGTTATGCTTCTCTTTGCTTACTGGAAATAATAACTCTTCACTATTGATCATTAAATTCTTTTTTTTTCGACTATGTTATCAATAGTTTAATGGAACGATAGAATCATGTTCGTTTCTTTTCTTGCTTTACTTTTCCAATTCGAATACTACTATTACTGCTTCCATTATCGTTACAATTATTATTGTTATCATTGTAATAATTATCTTCATCGTTCCTAATTTTGATGTATCGCGCTCGAGATCGCGCTTCACCACATGCATTTCCCACATCAGCATGCTCACCGTATGCTGTTTGACTGTTTCTTCGAGGCTTCCTTTCTTCACGTCCGATAACCGAGGAGGTATTACAATGATCCTCATTGAATGTATTTTGACTTGCTACTGGATACTGACAGTAGTAATCCGCAGTGCTTTCACGTTTTTCCGTTGAACAATCATGCGCATTGATCATTGCTGGTGACATCAGCTGATGTTGCCTACCAGGGCGATCCGGCACAGATGCAACAGGATGAGCAATGGAAGGAATCAATGCCCTACTGGTGCTATCGTTGCAATAATACAGAGAAGAAAGAGAAGTCGTCGAAGGAGCATGATGCTGTTGTTGCTGCTGATGGTAGTGATACACGTGGTGCAAGTGCTGCAAACTTTGCTGTACGCCGCCATAATTCGTGGAAGATGCTGTTTGTGGCGTTACCGCTGACGATGACGACGACGGCGATGGCGACGCAGAGGATACTTGCGACGGCGAAGTTGCAGGATATCGATAGTTTCAACTTCTATCGTTCTCTTGCTTGATAATGTGATACATTGGATGGTATTGCGGCTGCTGTTGCAGCTGCTGTAGCGGCTGTTGGTAGATGATGTGGTGCTGCTGTGGAATGATGTGATGCTGGATTAGCTGCGGTTGCCCTCCTTGCAATGTTGTGTGATGCGATGTTGCTACTGCTTGATGTGGCGGCGGCGGAGTCGACTGCAGCTGATGGTGGTGATGATTAGAATTTATGATGTGGATATTGACTGGCGATGGTGACGGTACGATGTGGTGGGTTTGATTCGAAGGCGGCACGGACGACGTTGTTAGTGATGTTGTTAGCGCAGGATTATAATGTTGCTGGAATATCATTATTATATCATTTGTTCCGATTTCTTCTAACAGGTTGTTTGTTTTGTTTGTGAAATTGATTATTTGATTCATTTCATCTATTTCGATAATATAGATGTACTACAATACACACGCTACTAGATAGTAGATTGATTGATTTATGCTATCATTTTGCTTCACTATAGAAATATCATCATTACTATCTTTTGCGATTTATTTCATTAATTTGATTTTAGCTTTTAATGCTAGTAGATATTAAAATGTGTGATTACTCTACTAAAAGAAATGATTACTGGGAGAGTTGAGAGTGGTATTGAGTGGTTTCTACATGCTAGTTCTTACTGTTTTGTTTTGCGAATTAATAATAACTGTAATTTACCGTGTTTTCTGGACTATGTTCATTATGTTGAGGTTCTATTTTAAATTCCATCTGTGGGCTGCTGGTAACGCCGGCCATCGTCGCCGCTGACGTCGCCACGTTGCCTCCAATGCCTCCGATGCCGCCGACGTTACCACCTCCGCCAACACCTCCTCCACCGTGGTTCGAGTGTGACGAATTAGCGCTGTTTGGTGTGTCGTACTTGCCACGCTTGAATCGACCATAGAGCGAACTATAGGGCAGATTGTAGTGGATGGCAGCTTGGTTTATCGACATATGTCCTTGTCTGCAAATGAAAAAAAACGAATCGCAAGAAACAAGAAACATGATTACCCAAAAGAAAATCCACCACCAAAACAACATGCAAGATGTACACGGAAGGCAACGAATCCTCGATTATGCAACGGTTGTATGACATTTCGCGGAAAGACCCATTTGACGGAAGTACATTTCATTGAGTTCCATTTGGCGGAAAAACCCGGCTCTGATTTCTATAGTATAGGAGCATTTCTAAAATTTCGGAAACTTGTGATCTTGTGAACGTTCTATAAGCAGTTCTTTAGAGTATTCTGTATTCGTAATCGTATCGTATTCGTAAAAAGTAGGTACGTTATTAAAATGCAATTCTGAATTTTCCGAGAAATGGAGCAATCCGTTAAATGAGATTCCGCGAAATGTCGTACAATATTAATCTTATGTAACATCTACTTAAACAATATATTCTGAACTCACACAAGTGACTTGGAGTTGAAGTCTAAAATATCTTAGGAGTGCTTTCCAAAACTCCCTTAAATTTTCTTTGAAATACCTTGGATAGACCTCGGGCGAACGGTACGGAAACAGTAATAAGTATACTGATCCCACAATCATGGATCCCTTCCCTTTGATTAACACGCTCGATTGACTGATCCATAATTGTGGGGTCAGTGTAAATTAAAATTAGGCGTATGCTTGATCCTGCAGAAAAACTTTGTTACCTGCTTTCGGGAACGTCATTTCATATGAATAGTTTTTTTTTATAGCTTTAATCAGTCGGTTGTAGCTTGTTGTGATGTAAGTGGACGGTGGCTTTAGAACAACCGTTAATAGGTTTAGCACCCAAAACTCTTTGCATTACTGAGTTGATCTATCCCGGGCCTATATTGTAGAAAACCGTTACTGGTATACCGTGCAAGCACCCTGAACGGTTAATTTAGAAGATCTTATCGTAATCGGATCCGAATGAAAACATTGTTGCCACTTAAAAAATATTTCATCTAACATTCTAAACATCTAAGTAAGTACTTGTATACAATAAATCTGGATGCAAAATGTTTCAAATTTTATTAAGAGTAAGCGACCATGCGTTCCATATTCTGAACGCTCGAAAAAGCTATTTGCGAAAACATTTTTTTTCTGAGAGATTAGTATGGAATACATTCACGGTAGATGTTTGGATGTAGCTGGGAAATCCAGCTTTTGTTGGTCGAAAACCCCAAACTACAATGCGGTTCTCCACATTTTCCGAAAAAGATTGTTGACTTCCAGAAATTTCTTATTGGCCAACGATTTACCGGATTTTGCACACTGAGATTGGATTGCTAATCTCAACCTCAACCCGAGCCAAAGTCAGACATCAAAATGTTATCAAAATGATAACATATTTTGATATTCCTTTTTTTCATTGAGGTTGAGTTCATATTTTGATGTTTCTAAAAATGTATTTGAAATCAAAATACGATATTCGATTAAAACAGGTATGCACCTTAATCACTGAAAGCTAATTTTAATCTTTATTTTGTTTCAAATCAAAATAAACTAGTTATCTAATGCATTACAGTTTTTTAGACTTAATTTAGTGAATTCTAATAAAATATTTATGAGGATATCTCTCACTGCGTCCTAGCAAGAAGTACGGTCGACTTGTTTCGCGCTCCGTTAATTTGGAAGTTTTCTCGCTATTATCTGACGTAAATAATCAGTTTTTTCTCGCTTAGTGATTCCTGGCATAATTCCCGATAAATTTATCAAAAAGTGAGTTTTTTTCTGAGAAGAAAGTGTGTTTTCGGCATCATCGGAAGGAAAATTGTTTTTGCGATTGCCAATTCGCCAACCATTTTGCGCACCATCGGTGCGTGGTCACGCATACCTGTGCACACGGATCATCGTCATCGAGTGTTAGCATCTGCCTCCACATTCAAACCGCTCATCCATCTCGTGTGTTCAGCTGAGTGCCGAGCTTCATACAAGCACACACCAACGAAGACCGCCCGCACACGCGGATCGAAGATCATCAAAGCTGCGCATCGCTCCGCTGCTGCTGTGTAAACGCTCGGTGGTAGTAGTATAGGATTATCAGATAAGTTTTTGTTCTTGTTTCTTCCTTTCTCCCATCAGTTAAATTTTAAGTTTGTGTTTCTGTGTTGTATTTTTTTTTTCTCGTGTATTGTGTCCGAGTAATTTTGATTATCGTTGCAGTGGTAGAGCGTTTTTCGCTCCCACTAGTACGGCAAAATGGACATTTTGTCAGAAGACGAAATGGACGTTTTGTCGGAAGATGACACCACTTTGCAAGAAGGGTCGAAAACGTCTGTCATCCCAGAAATCAGATGATGCCATCCCTGCTTCGTCATCTCAGTCTGGTAATGGACAGGGACAGATAAGCCTACCCAGAAGACTCGACTGGCCCATGGGTTGTTTACTTTCAGCCCAAAAAGAAACCTTTGAACGTAATGCAAATTACTAATGATCTGACGAAGCGGTTCTCGGCCGTGACCGAAATCTCGAAGGTGAGGTACAATAAACTTCGCGTTGTCGTCTCTAACCTGAAACAAGCTAACGAGATTGCTGCCTCCCAGCTCTTTACACTAGAGTATAGAGTGTACATCCCAGCTCGTAATGTGGAGATCGAAGGTGTGGTCACCGAAGCGAGTCTGACCCCCAAGATCTTGGCGAAGCAAGCGGTTGGCCGTTTCAAGAACCCCTTGCTTCCCACGGTTGAGATACTGGAAGTCCAGAAGCTGAACTCAGTATCTTTCAGCGAGGGTAAAAAGAGCTTTACCCCCACAGACTCGTTTCGGGTGACCTTTTCTGGTTCAGCCCTTCCTCACTACATCGAGTTGGGAAAACTTCGGCTACCTGTGCGTTTGTTTGTTCCTCGGGTCATGAACTGCCAAAATTACAAACAGTTGGGACATACGGCCTCTCACTGTGGCAGCAAGGCACGCTGTTCCAAATGCGGGGAGAAGCACGAGGATGGCGCCTGCACAGTCACTGCACCAAAATGCGTGTACTGTAAGGGAACTCCTCATGGTCTCTCATCGTGCCCGGCGTACAAACAACGCGGGGAGAAACTAGAACGCTCTCTTAAGGAGCGTTCCAGGCAGTCTTTTGCAGCAATGCTAAAAACAGCCACACCATCAACCAACGACAAAAATCCCTTTGCTGTTTTGTCTGATGACGAGTCTGACTCTGACTTGGCTGAGGAGGGAGTTTCTTTCAGTTTTCCGGAAGGTTCTGCACGGAAACGAAAACGCATCCGTTCGCGGAAAGTTGCAGATAAGGAACCCCAAATCAACTTGCCCAAATCAAGGAGTGATGGAAAAAAGGAAGTTTCAACTCCTCCTGGTTTCCGCAGAACTGACTATAACCAGAACTTTCCATCTCTCCCGGGGACATCAAAAACCCCTGATGGCCCATTTTTAAGAACAGAAGCCCCTTCTTCATCCGGGTTGTTCTCATTTGATAAAATTGTGGACGATATTCTCAAGTACCTCAATATTTCTGATCCTCTCAAAAGCATTGTTCTGGCAATGCTTCCTTCTGTGAAGACCCTCTTGAAGCAATTGACATTGAAGTGGCCCCTCATTGCAGCAATCATTTCCTTCGATGGATAATTTTCCAAACGAGGTCGGGGATTTGATCACTGTTCTACAGTGGAATTGTCGAAGTCTCATTCCTAAATTAGATTCTTTTAAGTTTTTAATTCACAATAATGATTGTGATGCATTTGCTGTTTGTGAAACTTGGCTCTCTTCAGATATCGATCTTCCTTTTTATGATTTTAACATTATTCGACTGGATCGTGAGGATTCGCGTGGAGGAGGGGTACTTTTGGGGATCAAAAAGTGCCATTCCTTCTATAGAGTGAATCTTCCACAATTTCCAGGTATTGAAGTTGTTGCATGTCAGGCTATTATTAAAGGTAAGAGCCTTTGTATTGCTTCTGTTTATATTCCTCCTAGAGCCGTTGTTAATCGCAAACAACTTTCAGATATCTGTTCGGTACTTCCTGCTCCACGGTTGATTATGGGAGATTTGAATTCCCACGGTACAGGCTGGGGGGAACCGTATGATGACAACCGTTCTACTTTGATATATGACCTCTGCGACAGCTTTAATATGACAATTCTTAACAATGGAGAAGTAACACGTTTGGCTGGCCCATCCTCGAATGGAAGTAGATTAGACCTCACACTTTGCTCTAACTCATTATCGTTGGATTGCACGTGGAATGTGATCCAAGATCCCCACGGTAGTGATCACTTGCCGATCAAAGTTTCAGTTGCCAGTGGGTTCAATCCGTCGGAACCCGTTAACGTCGCGTACGATCTTACCCGTAATATCGATTGGACAAAGTTCAAGAATGTGATAGGAGATGCCCTTACGTCGGTAGAAGGGCTTCCACCGTTGGAGGAATATAACTTCCTCTCCAATCTGATCTTGGACAGCGCGCTTCAAGCTCAAACTCGGCCGGTTCCTGGAACGTCTTTGCGTAGGAAACCTCCTTCCCCTTGGTGGGACCAGCAATGCACTGAGGTTTATCGTAAAAAGTCCGACGCGTTTAAGCTTTTCCGGAAACGTGGAACACCCGTACATTTCGAAGCGTACTCGGCTCTTGAACGCGAACTCAAGAGCCTCATCAAAGCCAAGAAACGCGGATACTGGCGGCAATTCGTGGACGGATTATCGCGCGAAACGTCGATGAATACGCTTTGGAATGCGGCGCGAAGGATGCGTAACTGGTCTTCAAACAACGAGAGCGAGGAGTACTCCGATAGTTGGATCCTCAAGTTCGCGCGAAAAGTATGTCCTGATTCTGTGCCGGCACAGATGATTCCTCGCGAAACGACGAATTCGGTAGACGAGATCAGCCAGCCTTTTTCAATGCTGGAGCTCTCACTCGCGCTCCTTTCGTGTGGCAATTCGGCTCCGAGGGCTGATAGAATCAAGTTCAACTTGTTGAAGAACCTCCCAGACGTCGCTAAGAGGCGCATGTTGAACTTGTTTGGTCAGTTCCTGGAGCTT